TGACCATTTGTCCTTTGCAAGTTCACTTGGCATTAACTTTCCTCCTTCAAAACTGGTTCTTTGAACTGTGGGATATTCCTAACTTTTCTGCATGTAAGGAAGCTATGGCTTCACAGGCTATGAACTCAGAAGATTAACTCCAGTAAAGTGGCTTGAAGGCCACCAAGTAAACCGTGAGCCATTTGAATCTCAAGTTCCACACGCTGCAATTTTTTGCACACAAACTTTAATTTTTGATATGATACTAGACCACATTTCAGCCAAACAAACGTAAACTTTGAATTGGTTGTTCTCAAGCTACCAACTTAAGTTCTGGTGTGAAGCCTTGATCTCATCTAATGCACCAAAAACATCCTCAACCTGATTACGTAGTGGATGGATTGCCTCTACCTTTGCTCTACCATCTTGTCATATTTTGGTATTTTAATATAATGGTGGTATGCTTTTTCAAAACATCCCAAAGACTAGTAGAAGCAGAGAAAAGGGTATACAATCTTTGGACAATTCAAAAGAAATAGAACAACTTGGAGAAGATGCTGCAATGGTTGTTCCCCAACAAAATTCAGTGAATGGGCAGCATATAGAACAAAAGACACATATTGATTTCTCTGCTGAATTCAATTTTGAACACCTCTGTGTGCTGCAGCCATGTGAGTTCCACTGTCATAGCTTCAGCAATAGCTAAACCATCTTTTTTTCCCCATCTTCTCTAAAATATCCACACCAAAACAGGGCAGAGTGTTATGGAGGTTATCAGTGAAATCTACAAAGCTCTCAACTTCAAAACCTCAGCATACCTTAATGCCCGAGACATTTGTTCTGTTCGGGAGTGGTCCAGAGTACGGTTAGTTAGACAGAATATAGAAGCATTTAACTTCCCTAACCTTTCTTGGGATCCTACCAATAAACTCATTTTGAATTCAGTTTGGTAAGTACATCACCATTATGGTACAGGTCTTAATAGCTTCCACATGATCTCCCACCACACTATCATACCTTGCAAGCAATTCTAGTAAGCCCAACAATCTTCCATTACAAGACTTCTCTAATTTCTTGTGTGAACCTGTAGCAAAATATTCAGGAGACGACAAAAAATATTATGGCATATGTCCTGCTACATCTGATAGCAGGTGTGCATATCTGTCAATTGTATGACCATTTTCCAACCTTTCTGAAAGTTCCATCCAGTGAGTGATTGCTTCCATGTGTTCCTTTGAATGTTCATGTTGTCCTACTCGTTCGCTAAAGCGGAGAAAGGTTGTGAACCCAGTTTTATAGTTGGCAAAGGAAGATGAGGAATTCGGCTGGAAAAGCAAACAAGTGAAAAGTCGAACTGTATATCAGGTGTAAACCTCCATTAAGAGTTGTGACAAAGAACCACACTTTAATACTTCCTTTGTGTTTGCTAGGTGAAAAGTCTTGTTCTTAATTAATTGTTCTTTTCTACCAAAAGACAGCAAACAGAATCTGCCAATAAAACTTGAATCTGCCTTATCAAACTCAAAATTCTGCTGCATGCTTTCAATGTCAACATCCATAACAATTACACTAGCAACCAATGGGCAACTTTCTGTCCCAGAATCAGAGACTCCAGCCCCCAACAATCCAATGCTTAGGTCAGTTACAGAGTCAAGGACACTGAAGTCTGACAAACCCAAATCAACATCCTCACTAGCTAAGGAGGGCTCAGAAGGGCGAGCAGAAATGTCTGCAGATTGTTCACCAGGAACATGGTCAGACTTCGCATGTTCCTTGAAACTCTGTAGAACACTCATACTTTCTGATCTTCAGGAGATGGGCCTGCTACAGTTTGCACTTTTGAGCACCACACTTGTGCTTGTAGATATTCATGGCGGAAATCACAGCCAATTCTGTCCAAGAGAGACTTCATGTCTTCAACATGAATGTAAAATGTTCTATACTTGAACACTCTTCATGGGTAAATATCTTATTAGGGATTCCGACAGAACTGTCAGTTTGTTTGGGGAGACCTTGAAAACTGTGGTGTTCCTGGATCAAACTAATCCAGTGCAAACGAGGACATCCTTTTTTTGCTTGGGAACAGATTTATATGGGCTCATCCCCTTGTCATGTTTTTCCACTGTTTTGCTGTTTCTTGTGCAGCATCAATTTTGTTCTCACTCATCAGAATGGAATCCACCATCACCTATGTCTGCAGATCATCCTTTGGTCATGTTTTCTTCCTTCCAGATTTGCCTTTTCTTGCATTTGTCCTGATTTTTTTCCAGAGACTACACTACCTTCTTCCCTTTTGCACATTTACCTATTAACTTCTGCACAGCCAGGATGGGGCAACATGTTTGAGAAGTGCTGCAGGAACATGTTTCAATTGGGAATAATTTAACCACATACACCTTTTCCATTTTTACTTCTGTCTGCATAATCCTTTGATTATGAAGCAGCCAGTCTGAGCTTGTAGAAATAATTTTTATTCATTATCAGATCAGCTAGACCATCCATGGTCTTTGATTTGCAATCATCTCCTTTTGAGCCAAGTACATGTTCTAGGTTACACTGCCCTTGCTTTATGAAGTACACAATCTCGGCTACAGGCATGTAATCAGCTAGGAATTCAATATGATCAGGATTAAACTTGCTGTTAGCATGCTTGGGTAACAGATGGTAATTCCCAATGCCATGCTGTCCTCCCAAAACTTCTTTTAGCTAGAATGTTTGCAGGCAGTAGAAAGCCAACACCATTTTGTCCATCTCCGCACCCCATCCCCATCCTGCTTCCCCATGCACCCAACTCCTGTAAATCGAGACCCCCCCCCCATGCCCCTGCCGAGTCCCCTGCCGAGCCCCACTCCCAGACCCCCCACTGAGCCCCACTCCCCCTGCATCCAGACCCCCCTGCACTCATCCCAATGAGCCACACCCTCCTGCACCTGGACCACTGGGTGAGCCCTGCACACCTGGACCCCCACCTCACCAAGCCCCACTCCCCCAGCACCCAGACCACCCCTGCCAAGCCCTAGACCCCCCTTGCTGAGCCCCAACCACTTTCACCAGCTGAGCACCCAGCTGAGCACCCAGAACCCCAAACAAGCCCCTGTGCATCCAGAACCCCCCCACCACTCAGACCCTCCTGAGCCACCTGCACCCAGATTGTCTCATGCAGAACCCTCACCCCACACCTGGATCCCCCCACACACACACTTGGATCCTGCTGGGCTGAACCTGCCTGCCCACACCTGGTGCATCCGGCATGGAGGATGTTTCTGGGGCAGGTCCGGCCCGTGCGCTGTGTCAGGGTCAGGTGCAGCCTCACCGTCGAGTCCATGTCCCGGGGCGGGGGTGGGGGGAATCTGCAGGGTGATCTCCCACCTCTGTGCTCCCCAGTGCCATGTTGCAGCCTCCACATTTATTTATTGACAAATAAAATTTGCAGACTTAAAATATTGTGCGCAGAATTTTTCATTATTTTGGTGCAGAATTCCCCCAGGAGCAAAGGGAATGCGTGCAAAGTGGCAGGGGACTGGACTCGATGACCTCTCGAGGTCCCTTCCAGTCCTAGAATCTATGAAAGTGCACACCTGACCAGGGGTATGTATGGCAAGGAAGCATGGGCAACCTACTTCTTCACACCCATCTGGAGCGAGTACAGCAAACCAGCCAGAGCAAATGTCAGCAAATCATGCTAGGAGCTCGCTTAACCCAATGCCAGCAGGGAGTATCTGCTCGTACCTACTCAGGCTGGGAGAGACATCAGACTTCCAGTCTGGTCAACACATGTGACCAACTGTCCAGCACCAGTCACAAATTACCACTATGGTCAGAAATTACTTGCAAACTGCAAGTACTGTCGGGAGCAGTGCACAACAGTCTGATCTAAGAAGGGACCATCTATGAAGTACCAGGCTGCCTACAGATCATGTACAATAAACTAGGCCAACTAGCAATGGTACGCAAATTCCAAGATGAATATCAGACTTTTTTCCCCTTTTTATTGAGAGTACAGAGAGTGTTGTTCTTCAACAAGTTTCAGTTTAGGAGGGAAAAGCTTACTACCTAGGTCTGAAAAATTCCACTGTTTTCTTGGCTCTAACAAAGTCATATGTTGATAATTTTGTGGTAGCAACGCAAACCCATGTGAATTGTTATTAGCCACACAGGCAATGATCCCTGCAAGTGCTCCCAAAAGACTGTGTTTGACAAGTTTCAGAGTAGCAGCCGTGTTAGTCTGTATCCGCAAAAAG